TCAACAATTAGTCAAATTACCAAATACACTGTAAAATGTGTTGCAAGCACATCTGTTCTTATTATTATGGAGCCTTTTAGCCTCTTTCAGCTAGCAGTTTATGTTTGTTTTGATGTTTGCTTCTGGTCCTGCAGCTTTAATATTTGTGTTTATTCTCATCAAGCTCGCTTTTAGTTGCACAGGCAGATAATTCTAGTAAAAATCTCAAATAAACTGACTCCACAACACCTCCAAGGCGACAGACAGCAGGTTAAGTTAGCAACTAGCTAACGCGAATAAAGTGTTTTAGCATAAACAAGCTATTAAGACTGATAATTCCCTGTGGAGGTGGTGGAGACCAAAAGTGGAGCTAAAAATAGAGTGAATATTGGAATTACATATGCAAGGTGGATAAAAACATTTAGATTTAGCTTCTCCACAGAAACAGGACAGTATTGTAGTACAGACGTTAATCATCCTGCGCTGGCATATGCTACGCTATTGAAAATTATGATAATTAAAGCCACTAAGACTTTATATATTATCCTATAGAGGACGATAACCTGAAATACTTGCAAATACATGCAACAGGTGAAGCTGTTGAGCAGCAGACGGANCAAATACATGCAACAGGTGAAGCTGTTGAGCAGCAGACGGACACAAAAACCGAAAATGAAGCCAGTTTTATAGAAACAGACGGCGGCAACAGAAGCTGCAGTTGTTTTTAATGGTGTAAAGACTGAATTAAACGTGTAAAACTGTTGTATGACGGGTCATTTCATGCCAGTTCACCCAGATATCAGAACTTCTCCGAGTTCATGTTGTGTATTTTTTTTGGGAAAAAAAATCATGCAAAAACTTCTGCCTAAACACTTTTACTCCAAATACGTTTTGAATTTTTGAAAATAGGCCCTCTGTATTAAATTTATAACATCAGTGATTGTTTTAAAGCATCTTTCACCAATTTCTTCTTTTTCATAGGATTTGGAAGATTTTTTACTGAATACCCCAGAAATCATGTCAATAGCTTATGCTGATTTATTATTATTATTATTATTATTATTATTTTTAAGAGTAATTTAAATAATATAATCTATAATTTATCATCACAACAAAACATTTAATTTTGTTTGTTTAATTTTCAAACATTTATATCTCCACTAATAATCACTTCATTCGGACCAAATGTTTCGTTGTGCACAGAAACGTCTTTGTTTTGTCAAATAAAAATGTAATTTGGTGTTAAAACATGACCGCCACAGCTCCTCCTAAAATTAGCTCCGGAGCTGGAAAATCCACTTTTTTAGGACATTTAACAGTATTGTTTTCTCAGGAAGGATTGTTTGTTCTTTAAAATAATTAAAGATGTTATATTATGCCTTCATTATTCAATATTTTTCTGTAAATGTGCATTTCTTGCACTCGTATTACAAAGTCTCAGAAACACAAATATTGAATTGGGAAACAGGAGTGAGTTTGCATGGACTGACCCTGATGACATAAACATGGCTGGACGTGTTTTCTTTTGCAAAGCGACCGTGCATGAGGGCGATAATGTGCCTCGAGGTGTCCAATATCAAACAGACGTGTCGTGCATCCTGCTTTAAGGACAATTTGTTGTAACGTTTTTAAAGCCTTGTTGTCCATCCTTGTGTTTTGTTCCCTCTCCTACGGTTCATCCTCCTCTGACACTTCCTCTCATCTCACCTCCTCACCCGTCCTCTCCCCCCCACAGCCGCCATCCCTGCACAGATTCCAACACACACAAGCGATTACCCGACTGTCTCTCCTCCTGTCTGCCGCTGAGGTCAGAGTCTGGCTTTTCTGTCCTCCAGCAACGCAGCCAACTGTGCTTCACCAGCGACTGTAACTCCAGCTCTGCCTGCAACTCGAGACCCCGGCCGGCGCTGGTTCAGGTCACCGGGACGCCGAGTAAAAACCTCCTCAGCCGTCGGCACATTATCAAAAGATATCGCCAAACGGGCCGGGACGCCGCGCAAGGCCGAGCTCTGGTGCCGAATTAGACAGATCCCGGTATAAACACAGATATTTTCCTCGCGATGATCAGTTTATCTGGGCGAACAAAGCCTTTTGTCTTCGCCTCAGCCCGCGAGAAGCCGACGGGGAGCTGTCGGGGAGCAGCGCTGCCAGGGTTCATGTCATTATCGATGTAGATCTGGCGCTGGCTGCAGAGCGCGACCAGGGCGTTTGAAGCACGAGGGCTTTACGGGGAGACAGTCATCTCTCTCACACGGGGAGAGCCAGACTCTCAACTGTCTCCTCTGAAAATTGGATTTCTATCCCCTGAGATTAGGATCAGGCTTCCCCTGCTCCGCTGCGGCTCTATTAGAAAAACATGCCGCCCTCTGAGGCCGGGAGAAGCTTACAGCGCGGACCTCGTCATCTCCCCGCTGACCTCTGACCTCTCTACAACCAGGCTGATCCCACGCCGGGGCTTTCCTCTCGGTTGTCTGTCTGGCATCCGACCGCAGGTGTCATCCATTTTGACGTCGGCCCCGCACCCCTTCTTCCACCAGGCCCGAGGCGAACCACCAAAGAGGAGGACAAAGGAGTGTCTGTCCTCACCGAGACAAGCAAACACCCCCGTCAGTGTGTCATCTACATGGCCACTTCACAGATTCCCAAAACCATATTACATGTATCACACCGGTATTCACTATCAGCTATTGTTAGGCCTTGTCAGAACACGCAATGTGATACCAGCAGCTGATAAAACACGCTTTACTGTAACACGGCCAGCATCTCCGGCGCTGGGAGAAATAAAAAACACAAAGACCCATCTGGAAAAGTGTATTTGTTCATGTGTAAACAGCTATTATTTTGTCCTTTTCTTGCTGGCATCAGTGTCAGTTACGAGGCTCCAAGATAAACACATTTGAATGTAATGCGAGGTTTGGGATTTTCCTTTTTTTTTTTAAACTCAAGTACGAAATATTTCTTGTTTTCTCGTTTAAAAAGTTAAAAGTAGAAACACTAAAAACCGTTACGGGCTCTAAACGTTTAGTCTTGTTGTTGTGCAGCTTTAATTCAGTAGCCTAAAGCTTCACTCATCAATATTTCCACGTAAACAATTCGTAAAATGACTTTATGTAATGTCAGCCTCTTTTAGGTGATAGTT